TTCATGCTTTTCTTTTCCTTTAGTGCAATCATTTCTTTAGGGTTTGCACTATTCACCCCACTTTCCCACTTGGTATCAGGCCCCCTAACAACATCCTAGTCAAAGTATCCTAACATTCTTGTCATTCTTCTCAGAATGGTGGGGGGCAAGATGATAGTTTGGTTTTGGAAGCTGTTCCCTCTTTTTTTACCAGACCTAGTGCCAAAATGTTGCAAGCAAAGAGCAAGAATAGGAAAGGCAGAGCCCCTCTCAGGACACTGGCTTTGGGTCTGCAGGGAAGGTGTCCCCACACTCCTGGGTGTAGTCTGGTTTCATCAGATTTCAGTAGGTGGTGTGTGTGTGGCTGTTGGGGAGGATATGACGATCAGCATCACCTTGCCTCTACCCATTGTTAAGCACCCTTGGAGGGACCTGAGTAGCTCCCAGGCTCAAGCTCTTTCCAGGGTAGAGCATCTCATCACATGACCCATTGCTCCCTTGGAGAAAAATCCCACAGTTCCAAGCCTTCTGCCAACCCCAGGCTTCTTTACATGTGTCATGAGAGCCTCTGGTATTATCTTCTACCCTCCTACCTATCTCAAAATTCTGAGTTGGGGTGGCAGTTTCCACCAACTGCTTCTGAAGAATATTACCACATAGTCCCTTCAAGCTCTGCTGGTGTAAGGAACATTAGAAGAGTTTTCTGTCTTCATATACCTCTAGAAAAAGCCCACACTTTCTTGTCACTGGGAATTGGGAAGAGGTTATTGGGAAAAGCTGTAAGCCAGAGCCTCAGCCTTGGAGAAGATGCCTCTCTCTTCTGGATCCCTAATGGGATTTTGAGTCCATTTTAGGGACCAGGATGCTCACTATGGTGACTTTCCCTGGGCTCTGAGAAGAGGAGGAGGTCAGTTCCTCAATCATTCATTTATTAATTTATTAACAATGTATTTATTCAACATATATTTATTAAACACAGACACTTCACTAGGGACTGGAAATACAGTGGTAAACTAGACACATACCACTTCCCTGGAGTTGAGGACTTTATAATGTAAGGAGGGAAGTAGAGATAAAGACAAATAAACAAAGTCATTACAATTGTGTGAAGGAAACAGTCAAAAATGGGAGATAGAAAATTCAGGCGGTAGAAGAAGGAGCTTACTGTGGACATGGTGCTTAAGGAAGGCTTCTTTGAGGAGGTGACATATAAAGAGGTGACTTGAAGGAGCCAGAAAAGCAGAGAATGAGAGTAAACTAATATAGGTATAGGGATGTGCACAAGCACAGCATATGCAATGGTCCTGAGGCTATACAGAATTTGGCATATTCAAGGAACAGAAAGATTGGCATCACTGAGAATAGTAATAGGGAGAAAGAATTACCTTGGAAGATAGAGGAGGAGTTTGAGGCCATCCAGGCAACCCTTAAAACTGTGGAAGGGGATTTGCTTTTCCTTCTAAGTGCAAATGGAGGCACTGAAGGAGTGAACATAGAAATGACATAGTTTAGATTTACATTTATGGAGATTACCCTGACTGGCTCACGGAGACTGGACTGAATGGGCAGAGGGAGGAGTAAATGGAACTCACCAGTCGGGAGTCTGATTTACAGCACCAGCAAGCTATGGTGGCTGCCTGGTTTGGATTGGAGAGTGGCAGAGAAGCTGAAGAGAGATGGGTGGATTAGAGACCTTTTGAAGGTAGACCTCTTTAGAGATAGACTTCATGGATTAGAGGTAGGGCTCAAAGGAAAGGAGGAAGCAAGGGTGGCTCCTAGGTTTCTGTCTTGAGTAACTGAGATGGAGAAGATGGGGTGTGGGAATGGGCATGTCTGATTCCTTCAAAATTCATATGGTGAAATCCTAAGGCCCAATGTGATCAGATTAGGAGGTGGGGACTTTGGGAGGTGATTAGATCCTGAGGGCAGGGCCCTCATGAACAAGACCAATAGCCATATGAGAAAGGCCTAGGAGGCTTTCTCCCCTTCCACCATGTGAGGCCCACAATGAGAAGTCTGCAACCCTCTGAGGGCCCTCACCTGACCGTGTTGGCACCCTTATATCACACTTCCAGTCTTCAGAGCTGCAAGACATAATATTTGTTCTTATTATGCCTGCCAGTCTATGGAATTTTGTTACAGTAGCCCAAACAGACTAAAACCTCCCTCGAACTAGGAGAGCCAATAAAATATCTGAGAATACCTCTTGGGTTCTTCTATGGTTTCTCCTCTTCCTCCTCTTCTTCCTCCAGCACCACCACCACTTCCTCACCTCCTCTGTGAGAGGGTGCAGTGTAGGGTGGGCAAGCTGTCTACCTCCCACTCATCTCCAGTGCTCTTGGGATTCCTGAGAAGTTAATATTTATAAGAACAGCCTAGAGTTATGTTGTGTTATTTTTTGTCACTCTCTACTATTCTTTCTACACATTCAGCTATTTACAGAACTCACATTCTTTGCAGCCCTTCTCAGAAAACCTGCTTACTCTGTGTCCATTTCATTGCCACCAGAAGCCTCTCACAGCCATCCTTGGGGTCATTTATGCTTAGTCCTGACCTTGTCAGAGTAAAAAACTGAAACACTGGATTCCCCTGTTATCATTTTCCTGTGCCCCTAAGTGGTTTATGAGTATGAATGAATGTATGTTGCTGAAGGCTTGGACAAAATCCAAGAGGGAGATGCCATGGAGTCACTGGACATTGGCTGGAAGCCCTCTGAGGAAGCTCTGGGTTGTGCTTTGTTTCTGCAGCCATCCCCTCCTGAGAGAATATCCTAACATCATTGCAGTCTCCTAAGGTTAGACTGGCAAAGAAGGAGGAAGAAGAAGAGTTGAGACAGAAAAGTTCCTAGCCAGCTTTTCTCTGCTTTCCTTCCCCACCTTTTCTGAAGAACTCTGACGTTCCTTGCACCCTTCTTGCAGTTAGGGCTGCCTCTGCCATGATAAAGCAAACTCCACTCTGACATACTTCAGTATCATTGGAGGATGCTAATACATGCAATGTTTGTTTCAACCATATATTTTGAGCAACTATTATGTAGGAGGCAAGATTTGGCACCTAAGAAGTATAGAGATATCAAAGTCACAATCTCTGCCCACTATGTACCTAGAATTTGGTTGAGGAGAAAGAGCAAAGAGGCCAAAACAAGGAGAAAAAACTCCAGCACAAGTCTAACAAAAGAAATGTCTGTCACATGATAAGGCAAAGTGCTATAGACTTCAAAGAAGATAAGATGTTGGATTTTTCTTGGGAGGATGAGGAGCAGCCTCTGAACACTTCAGACAGATGTAGGATATTAGGAAGACATAGGCAGGTGAGAGACACAGTGATGAAAGTGGCTGAAATGTTTGCAAAATCATGTGCAGTGGCACAGAGGGAAGAAATCCAACGTGTTGGGTGTAGCTGGTACAGAAAAGAAGCTCTCTTTGATTGAATCTGTCTTAGCCTGGGTTTACACCGGAAAGCAGAACCTGAGACAAGGGTTTTGCATTCAGATGATGAGAAGTGACCCCAGGGAACAGGAGTGGGGCATGGAGAAACCGAAGCAGGGAAATGAGATAAGCCAATACAAGAGTGTGCTCTTGAGCTCAGCACTGCCATGGATGACTATGACTCAATTCTCCTGGGACCCTCTGAGGAACCCTGTAGGTAGAATGCATCTCAGAATTGTGCGCCTGAAGAACCCAAGAGAATAGCAGGTACCCACCCACTCTTACCCCACACTGGTCAAGGGTTCTTCATAAGCAGCTCCATCTCATTTCCAGGTGTGTGCATGTGTGAGTGCAAAGCAAGTTCCTGCAAGTGTCTTTCCCCAAGGTGTCCTAGGAGCCCCCAAACAGAGAGAGACAGATGCTTGGTGCAGCTGAGATGACATGATATCAGGTTACATCTTCTCAGAGCTGGTCACACAGCAATGACTAGAGTAAGAGGCAGGCGAACAGGATATAAGGAAGAATTCAAGGGTCGTCTCAGGACCATGGCCAGCGAGGCACCAGGAGATAATGCCACAAGGATAGGTTTTGGAAGAGATTATGTCTCGGTAAGAAATTTGAACTTAGTTAGCAATGGGTATACATTGCAAAACCTGATACCACTGCTTGTCATATGCAGAGAAGGGCAAGGTCTCCTGAGGGAAGTGAGTCCATCATGCTCACATTCATGTGCAGGATATTATGGTAAATTATAGTTCCTTGTGACTGGCTAAGTGAATCTGGAGATTTTATTACAGGCTTTAAATAAAGTAACCCTCAAAGGGTTGTTGTCAAAGGGACAACTGACCTAAAAGTATCCCAATAAAGAAACTGTTGGTTAAGGATTTGACTAAAATTCCAGAAAACATGAATAATAACAGGAAAATATCAAAGCTGGTACTTCTCCTTTGAGCTAATTTGTAAGTAAAAACAAAGACAATACAATAAGTTCTGAGAAGTCACCTGAAAAAAATTTAAACTGATACAAGTGATTCTCTGAAATATGGATTGATTTAAATTCACTACAGTTAATAATTAATCTTAACTAAAGTATGTGTCATGTGTCAAATTATTAACTAGTGATATTATGAATCCATTATAATGATGAAGACACGTAAAATTTTTATTTCACATTATCTTATCTTTTATTTATTTATTTTTTAAAGATTTTATTTATTTATTTGAGAGAGAGAGAATGAGAGACAGATAGCAAGAGAGGGAAGAGGGTCAGAGGGAGAAGCAGACCCCCCGCTGAGCAGGGAGCCTGATGTGGGACTCGATCCCGGGACTCCAGGATCATGACCTGAGCTGAAGGCAGTCGCTTAACCAACTGAGCCACCCAGGCGCCCTATCTTATCTTTTAGATTCATCTTTGGTGGGGCACTTGGTTGGCTTAGTCGGAAGAGCATGTGACTCTTGATCTGAGGGTCATGAGTTTGAGGCCTATGTGGGGTGTAGAGATTACTTAAATAGATAAAAACTTTAGATTAATTTGGGAACACACACCATAATATTTATAATAAACATGCAGAGAATTAACAGATAATACTCTTTTATTGATAGGGTTCTATGAACAAAAATGTTTGGAAGTCACATCGCTAGGCCATAGGTCGTCAGAAGGAAAAGGAAGAGAGAGGTGTGTACAGGAAGCATTTTGGATGTTGATTTAACTGGACATGGCAGATAAGTGGACGGTGGGACAAGATCAGGAAAGAATAAAAAGCACTCGGGTTTTACACTAGGATGATGTTCAGGGGAAACATGGTGCAGAAATGGATGTCTAAAGGAAGAGGTGGTTTTGGGTGATGAGAATGAGGTGGACTACAGTTGGGCATCAGTATATGGAGGTCTCTCAAGATGACCTATTGTGTTTTGGAATGGAAGATTTTCTGACTGCTTGATCCTCTGTCCTGGAATCAGCCACCCACAGCCCAGGCTGAATTTAGTCCTGAGGATCTAAATAGAAGTTAGTGGTGTAATTTTTGCCCCTCTCCTTGGTGAGAATGACAGGCTGACTTGCCATTTTGGAAGTGGCTATGAACCAGTCCGGGTAGGAGACAGACTCCAAGGTGGAGGTGGAGCCCTCCCTACTATGGAAAAAGAGAAAGGGCTTCTGCGCTTTCTTCTCCTTGGACATATCCATGATCTTTTTCTCCTAGGATTAGGAAAAAGCCTCATTAGAGAGGATTATTGAGAGAAAGGGTCTAAATAACACAGCCCTGAGATTGACTGCTTCCCCAAAGGGAGGGACAGAGGCCAGGGACAAAGGCAGGTGAAAGGACACCAAAGTGTCAAGACAGACAGCCCGCTGGCTCCCAATAGCTTGGCTCCATCCCAGCATCCCGTAACACCAGGTGTTTCTGATTCTCTGAGACAGCACTATCTTCCCTGAGAACGGAGACCAGCTTAAGTCTCTTCTATGGATGCTCCTGGTGGGCACCCATCTGCAGGTGCGGGCATCTCACAAGATTCCCAGCCTCCAAGTGGGTTGACATCTTACAGCGTTCATCATAACCAGAAGGATTCGCTTCATAACTACAAATGCTACCTTCGGTACAGAGACCACAGGCATATAATCCACAAAATCCAGACTAACAATCTCCCCGTCTCCTCTGCCATGCAGTGGCCTTTGCTTAAGTTGGAGTAGCCTAGCATCTTGGAGGACTTCTGGGAGTCAGTTAAAGAAAACTGAGGATGAAGAAACCACCATTCCTTGGCCTCTTTGAAACATTCTCATGGGTGTACCCTCCAGCTTTCGGAGAATGCTCTTACATTCAAATGAGTGTTACACCCATGCCCACTGACTTGGGGGTCAGCCAAGTCACATTTCCTTCCCTAAACTGAACAATCCAGGATTGAAAAAATGTCATTTTTATTCAGCAATATGTTAAATGAAATAAAAAGTGCATCTCACAGTGCTTCTCTCATTAGCTGTATGATCACTCACCTTAAGCTGCAGAGTAGGCTGGCCCTGAATTTCTGCACAGAAGAGACAAAGATGGTTGCCCTTGATTCCCAAGTAAACTGGATTGCCTTTTCCTGCATCATGAAATTCTTTGTCTGTACATGTTGTTAAATCAAGACTGACTGGAAACACAAGGAAAAATGGAAACAGGTATCAGGTCCCAGGCAGCAGAAAGTCCAGTCCTTCTGGCCTGACATTACTCCTCCTAGCCAGGGGGGATGCTGAGCAGTCAGGACTCCCTCAGAAGGAGGGAGCTCCCATTCACCATGGAGCTGAGACCCTTCATCATTATCTGAAGCCCATTTTCACTCTCTTACTTAATATCAGAACCCCAGTTGTTACCAAGGCATATTGTGTCCCAAAAATAAAAATAAAATTCCCTACCACATTTGCAGCTAAATTTGATCATATGCTGAAGTTGTAGCCCATTAGATAAATGTGGAAGTGTTGTGTGGGATTTCTAAGAATGTTCTTTAAAAGGAGTTGACTCAGCTGGGAGAAGCTCCTTTCTTATACCCTGTGTCTTCTTACTGCCAGCCTCAAATACTTGGTTGATGGTTGAGGAGAACTTGAGCTTGGTAAAGCAGAAAGCTAGAATCTTTGGACTCTGGGGGTATCGTGGAGCCATCATACTGGCCTCAGCCTGCCTGCTCAGCCTTCTTTTTCATGAGAAAGAAATAAACTTCTTAGTTAAGTCCCAGTTATGTGGGCTTTTTGTTGCTATCAGCTGAATTTAATTCCCAACTAATTTAGCCCAGGAACCTGGGTGCTCTGCATCCATCGTTCAGGGCAGGGGGTTGAGAATTCTCCAGTCAACTTTCTTTATTGAATTCCCACTCAGGACAAGGCTGCATGTGGGCACCAGAGATTTAGCTGAGGATAAGACAGACATTGTCTTGGCCCTCGCAGAAAATGAGACCAAAATATGTAAGCAGAGAAATGACCAGAACCACAATAAATTGCAATGCCTGCTTTGGAGGAAGGGACCAAAGCCTGGGACAGTAGGAGACCAAATTTAGATAGAGGAATCAAGAAAGACCTCTCTGCAGAAGTGAAGTTCAAACCAAGACCTTAAAGTTAAGAGGAAACTAGTATATGAAAGCATGAGTGCTGGAGAGGGTCTGAAAGGAGAGTGTCACAGGGAAAGGATTGGTAAAGGCCCCTATGTGGCTCTGAAAGAAGACCGGTGCCCCTGAGATCTCCCCACTAGCCCCCACCTAGCACCCCCAAAACACAAACACATGGGAATGATACTGTTCAATTAACATCGTTCAGAAGGTCACTCTTAATGTTTTGTAGAGAATGGATGAGAGGCCACACAAATGAAGGGGGAGGGAGGGTGGTGAGGAGGTAATGGCAGTGGCCCAGGTGAGAGATTATATTATCTTAGAAATAAGGCATATTTTGCACAGAGACTCCTCAGTCTTTGCTGATGGATTGGATAGAGATTGAATCAAGGATGTCTCCTGCACTTCTGGCTTGAGGAAACAAGTGATGGTAATGCCACTAATAGATGGGGAAGACTGGGCTCATCAGCAGTTTTGAGAAGTCAGATCCATAATTCTGCTTGGGATAGATGAAGTTAGAGATGTCTGAGGGGACATCGAGAGGACATGGGTAAATTGTCCAGAGGGGACTTCTTGGTTGGAAGCATAAATGTCAGAGTGATAGAGGTGATACATCAATCTAAGAGACCAACTCCCAATCCCTTCAGTGGGGTTAGGTTATGATTGCAGACTGAGATCTGAGGATCCCCAGCATTTGGAGATTTTATAGAGAAAGTGGAGTTGGAAAGGAGAATGCCAAGAGACTATTCCTACAGAAGAAGAAGATGGGGGTGTTCAAGAAAGAAAGAGTTATCGATTATGCTGACTGCAGCTGAGGAACCAAACATTGTGAGGACAGAGGAGCATATTTGGTGACCTTGGGAAGGGGAGCCTGAGAGAACAGTTCAGAAGTCAGGTTGTTTGATGCAAGCGTGAGCAGGAGATGAAGTGGAAACAAGTTGTATAGCCAGCTCTTCTATGAAGTTTGGCTACGACTAGTACATATCACTGTATAGAGATTGGTATACAGGGAAAAAAGAGTGGTAGTAAGAATGAAATGTGGGAATCAAGAGAAGGTGTTTAGTATTAAACTTAGAAATATTATATTAGAGCATGTCTGTCAGTGATAGAAAGGATCCAGCCGACAGACAAAGGTGGAGTATGCAGGGAAGAGAAGAATTAAATCAAACAAGGGCACCTGGGTGGCTCAGTTGTTAAGTGTCTGCCTTTGGCTCAGGTCATGATCCCAGGGTCCTGGGATCGAGCCCCACATCGGGCTCCCTGCTCCTCAGGAAGCCTACTTCTCCCTCTCCCACTCCCCCTGCTTATGTTCCCTCTCTTGCTGTGTCTCTCTCTGTCAAACAAATAAGTAAAATCTTTAATAAAAAAAAAGAATTAAATCAAACATTGAAGTCCTAGCAAAAGGGAAAGAAGCTGAGACAGATTGATTTTTGCTGAGAGAAAGGAATATCCCCCATTATCAGAAGAGAGGACACCAAATTAGGAAAGTGTGTAGGTTTGATAGTGAAAAGATGATCAAGTTTGATTCTGGGGACATAGGTAGTGATATGGTTGAAATTTAAAGGAGAGAAACTCCAAGGAGAAGGTCAACTGCTGAAGTAGATAATCTCTTCTTATTTGAAGACATTTTCTCTTGATAAGAACTGCCAACCCCTCACACCCTCATCTCTAGGTGCAGGGTTTCCTCTGTGGAAGAGAGCCTCCTTGTCCTTCCTGTGGACATTGGGCTCCCACCCAGAAGTAGGAAAGGCCCAAGGCCAGGCTCAAGCAAGCTCAGCCCCAACCCCAGGGGAGCTGGTGTCCCTTTTAGAGGAAAGGGTGGCTTTGATTGTCACTCACCAGGTCTGACATTTCTGCTAAAAGGAGTTGCTATTAATGAATTTTCTTTCAGGATCCATACCATTTGTTGAGAATCATAAACACCAAAGATTCTGGGACTATCTACCGCTGAGAGAAGACAGAAAACACAAAACACATATGAGGTTATTATAAACTTCAGGACCCTAGCTGCATCTTGGTAATAAAGGTTTTTGAATCCTTGGGGGTAGGCTTACTGCTCTGAGAAAGAGTGGCTATAAGGAGAAAGGGAGAGAAATAAGGCAGGAACTGGTTTGTGGATCAAAGCATCTGTAAGGATCTACCTGCATTTATAGTCCCCAAAAGATTTTCAAGATTTGTCTTTTTTCTAGGGATATCAGTGACTTGTCTTTTTCTGATTGATAGTCTCTGGGTAGTAACAAAACCAAAAATATTCAAATTGGTCATCAGTATGTTTCTTGTTTTTTTTTACCCTCTTTATTGAAATAAATAATAATTCTGAACATACATAATAAGAAAAGAGCTAAATGCTCTCAGATTTTCAAATGCAGGTTTTGCAATCTGCATATTTTAGCAATAAATGCATCTGTAACTGAGTAAATGATAGGGGCCCGGTACTCTATTGTCTTTGGTGAGGCAGGATGGAGATATTTCCAGGCTGGTTTGAAATTCACCACTCACATTGTGGGGTAGCCATGACGGTTTCAGAGCTTCCTGTGAAGAGGACAGGGTAGATCAGATGATACAGAGGAGGTTGTCAGCAGCTGGTCTTGTGGGGGAAAGAAAGAAGAAAAACATGTCATCAATTTCTCACCGCCCCTCCTCCACCCTGGAATTTTGTGTAAAAATTCTTTTGAGAAAGCTGCCCCAAGATCCTGTCCCAGATGCACATCCAACGCTAGAAAACCCCAAATGGAAACTTCCATCTCTGTCCTGACTGGGTAGTCCTCGTTCTCCAGACTCTGATGGCCTTGGGATGCCCTCCATCCATCACATTTGTGATTGTTAGGAGGTTCCAGAGCATCACCTCAGGCACTGTTTTATGCAACAAGTCTCCGGATTTAAAGGAAGGAATGGAGGGGACACTGGGCATCTATCTCCATTCTAGCTTCCCATATGGCTGGTGAGTCACCACTCATCCGGACTTCAAGCTTGAACACCACTAAATAACTGGCAGAAAATCTGCCTCTATAACCCCCATCTTCACCCATTCTTCATCCAAAGAGGCATCACTAGGATCTCCATTATGTGTTTTGACTGTCAGGAGCCATCCGTCCCTGGGCTTCTGATTAGGGAACCAGGACAGTTCTCCAAGAAGGCCATAAACTCCCCATAGTGAGAGGCAGCTGTTCACATCCCTCCCCGCCTCAAGATCCTCACGGCCTGATTCAATAGTCATCACTGGACAGGGAGTAAGCAAATCACCACCTGCACTCTTGGAAGAAGGCTTAGCTCCTCCAGCACCCTGTGCCTTCCACCAAGGCCCCCCCCAAGGCTCCCCAAGGCTAGACATAGAGCAGTGAAACAAGACTCCCCACAAATGGCATCTGAGTTGAAGTTACCTTTGTCCAAGAGATACTCTTGTCCTTGGATCCAAAGTTAAGGTTCTATCTGCATCCAAGGGCTCTGGAAAGTTGTCTAGGACTCCTAGTTCTTTTGCTGAAAAGACAGGAGAAACCAGAGACCCAGATGCAAGAGAAGATCAAAGGTCAACAGGTTTTGTGACTTCAAGCTGCACCTGTAATCTGTTATTATGGACTATGGCTTCCTCTGGACTCAGGTGCTCTGACTGACTCCAACAGGTCCCAAGCATTTTATCCACATGGGGAAGGAAGGAGGGTCTGCCTCACTTAGGCTGGGACTGCCTGACACTCAAATTTGCTGGTTCCTGGTGCCAGAGGATTCAGTGAGTCTTTATGTAAATATCAACCAAGCATCACTATGACTTGTCTATTCACCCTGAAAAAGTAGGGCATGCTAAGCCCTTAAGAGCAATAACCAGGAAATACAGTCATCAACACCAAGTTTGAGGAAAGAAACATTATGGGACTGCCCCAGGGCCCATGACTGGATTCTGTTGCTACAAAATGACATACTGCAATGTTATTCCTAGGAGTGGAAGCCCCTAGTAGGTTTAATATAGACTAGGGAAGGGGTGGGTCCCCTAAGACCTGTGTAGCTTGCAACTACTCCTGGTCCACAGTCACCATATTCTCTGCCAATCTCAGACCAGGTAAAAATGCCCCAGTGTATGCTTCTCCAGCTTTTCAGAGTCTGTGTGCATGCTGCTTCTCCACTCAAGGGAGCCTCACCTGGGCAAAGCCAGCTCTTGTACACCCTGCCTATCACTGACTCTAGATCACTGCCCTGGATTAGTGGTAAAGGGAGCCTGGCTCCCACATGCTCCACTGCTCTGAGCTAGCAGACACACATTAGGTCTTACATGAAGGAAAGCTGAGGCAATGCTGTTGATACTCTGCCCCAATCCCTTCAGGCCAATTGAGTTCGCTGTCACTGTGACAGTTGGCAGCACCTGTCAGCTTCATACCTCAAGAGTACTCATCTCAGCGGCAACCTCAACCAATGGGGGAAAGGGCTCGTGGATAAATGTCCCAGCCTCCCCAGCTTCTGGTGGGACAATGGTAGGGTTTCTCAGGGAGAACCCACACTGTGATAGTAGTTTAGTGTTCAAAAGCCAGAGACTTGTGTTCAAAAGCCAGAGACTTATATTCAAAAGATGTGTGTTCACAATTAGGCTTTGCAACTTTCAGACTTGTGTCCTTGGCAGAGTCCTTTCACATCTCTGATCCTCAAATGATTACTATATGAAATGCATTGTACCTTGTTAGATTATTGTGTGGGTTAAAGAAGAGTATGCAAAGCCCCCAGTACACGACAGCTTCCTGTAGCAACTAAGTCTTTAAGCAACTAAGCAATTAGGTCTTCTATGTCTGTCACCAGACCCCAGATCAGCCTATTTGTCTCTACCAGCCTTTTTGCTTTGACCACCACCAATAGCTCATCCTAGCTCTTGACATTTGTGCTACCTCATCAAATTATCTCACAACCTAACACCCTCATGTTCACACTGTATATAGTTCCAAGGGATTCCCACTGCACAGTGGGATGTGAAAGGTCATTATCATCTTGTCCTGGCCTCATAACCATTCCTTCAGGAGTGTGGAATCATGAAGCACCCACACCTAAATGTGCAGTAGGTGTCTCTGAGTCAAAACTAGGATTCAGAATCAATCTGTGGCTATGATGAGGAGTTGCCCTAGGTATCCATTAGCATGAGTTGATTTCCACACTCTAAGAAGAAAGTCTGGAGCCTATGGCATCACCCCCATGCTCCTTAGGTAGGACCAGACCCACTTGGATATCTTGAGGAGAGAGATTCAATGTCCTGCCATAAGGTACAAAGAAGCAAATATTCAAGATACATTGGTATGGATGATGCACGCAAACTCACTCAGGATCACAGCTAATAAAACGTGGATCCTTTCAGATTCATTATTTCATCCTATAAATACATGGAGCTCCATGTAGCCAGTGCCATTAGTTGAGGTGATGGGGGCTTTGATGATACCAGATAACCCAAGACCTCTACTTATGTCTCCCTAGTATGGAGGTGTATCCTTTACCACCAAGTGGTGGATGATCCTGAGAAGGGACACTGGGTCAAATACGTGAAGGAAATTTCTCTTTCTGTAAGAAAAGAACTCCATAGGAATAAAATCTAGAGATATAGCCCTCCTTCTCTCTTCAGGTAACCAGAACTGGATCCAACTTGGGATTTCATTCCTTTGTCCACCATATCTATCTTCACTTCACGTCAAGGTCTAACATGTCACCTCAGTTCCTTCCCAACTTCTATAGCACAATTCCCATCATTCAATTTGGCTATTGTTCACATATTGCCAAGTTATTAAATGGAACAGTCCTTGTTCTATATATCCTCAATATTCAGAGTGTGACCTGTGGACCAGTATCATTCACATCACCTGGAAGCTTGTCAGAAATGCAGAATTTCAGGGTTTATCCCAGACTTATGGAATCAGGATCTGAAATAAAGGAGCATTAAAACTACTGAAGTATATGTTCTGTGCTGATATAACACACACACACACACACACACACACACGCCATACTCTAGTCACAGGAGCACACACACACAAAAAAAGAGGTCAAGACTCAGGAGCTGCCTATGACTGGAGGGGGGACAAGCAAACCAGATCTAGACCCACTCTTACCTTTCCCCAATCTCTGGGACCCATGAAGTGGGCTGTCTTGGCACTGAACAAAGTGGGGGAGGGAAAGATATAAAGAAAAGAAGTAATTCCTGGAAGGCTGTGGCTGTGGACAGGCCCTCTGGAGGATTTCCACTTTGAGTACTCACAGCTTGATTGAGCCAGGAACTCTCAAACTGGTTTAATGTAGACCAAACACTTTCTACCAGACAAAGAGAAAGCCTCTCTAGAGGAGGGCAGAGCCACTTAAATAATTTTACAAAGGCAACAAGCCACAAGTAGTTGAAGATTACCAGGCATACAAGTAAACAAGATCACAAGAACAAGAACCAAAAAAATAAACAAAGCAAGATAGCAGAAACATACACAGACATCAGATTCTGTAATTATTATACACAGAGCATAAAACAACTATCCTAACCATATTTAAGAAGCAAATGACAAACATGGATATATTTTTCTAGAACAGCAAACTATGAAATGTGGCAGATTTGGAAGAGTTAAACAGCATCTCTAGAATTATATAACACAATAAATAAAATGATATAAACCAAAACTTGTATTTAGCAACAGACAGCACACAGCAGAAGGAAGAATTAGAGAGTACCACTGATGGTATAGGAATTTCTAGCACTCACTGCCTCCCAGAAATGTCAATTTGAACAATTATCCATACATAAAAATACTTCCACAAGAGCTAAGAATTCCAGGTGAGGGATGACAGCACCTGGGTAGAACACAGAAATAAGAAAAGATGTATTGAAAAAAGGATAGGAAACATAGTTTCACATTACTCCCATTGCCCAACCCCCAACCAAGCCAAGGTAGAGACATCCAACTCATGGGAGGAGAGTGAAGTAAGGAACTGACTTCACAGTGGATTCTACCATCAGCCCACACCAGCACCAGACTGACTCCTGTGGCCTGAGGCTCTGGGCCTGTCCCAGCATCAGGCCAGTTCCCATGGCCCCAGACCTCTGATGGGTTCTAACCAGGCTACCAGTCCACCCCAGCACTGGGCAGACCCCCACAAACCCAGGTTCCAGGCAGCCTCCTGCTAATCCAGATTCCTGGCCCTCCCTAGCATCATGGCCCCAAGCTACCAGCCTGCCCCAGCACCCAGGGCAGCCTTCACAAATCTAGACTCCAGATAAGCTCCCATGAATGAAGTTTCTGGCCTGTCCCAGTTCCAAGCTGGTACCATTGGCCCCAAGGTTCAGGCAGTCTCCCGTGGATCTAGGCCCCCAGGCTGCCCTAGCACCAGGCCAGACCCCATGGCCTCAGGCTCTAGACAGGTTACACCCATAAACCTAGGCTCCGGGTGGGCTCCCATGGATGCAGGCTAGCAGCCCACCCCAGCACCAGGCTGGTCCCTAGAGACCCACTCTCCAGACCAACTCCCATGGCTCCAGCCTCCAGGCTAGCCCACATGGATCCAAACTCCAGCGTGGCCCTCATGGCCCTCGAAGCTACAGGTTACAGGCTAACTCCCATGGACCCAGGCTTCAGGGTGGCCTCCACAGTCCCGGCTTCCAGGCCAGCTCCCATGAACCCAGGCTCCAGGGCCACCCCACCACCAGGCCAGCCCCTGTGGACCCAGACATCAGGCCCATCTACACAGACCCCAGTCCCAGGCCTACCACCAGAGACAGGCACTGGGCCTGTGAACCCAGTGAACCCAGACACCAGACTGGCCCCTATGGACCCAAGTACCAGGTCTCTCACCTGGTGACCCAGGCACCAGACATGCCTGTGAGAACTTCAGCAGCAAGCCCACCTAGAATCTCTGGACAAGCTGACTGGCAAAGGGCTTTCCCTTCCAAAGCCAGCCTACAAAAATTGAAAGAAGTGCCTACTTCCTTAAAGGCACAGACATCAATAAAGGATCACAAATAATCAAGGAAACACAACACCACTAAAGAAAACTAATAAAACTCCAATGACTGACCCTAAAGAAATGGAGATAAATAAACTGTCTGACAAAGAACCCTGAATAATCCTTTTAGAGAAATTCAGTGAACTACAAGAACACACAAGTAGACAACAAACAAAATATGTGTATCAAATAACCACCTTACTTTGTACAAATTAAACTTATACAATGTTATATGTCAATTATATCTCAATAAATCTGGAAACAAAAAAAGAGTAAGAGAGAATTAATTAATTCAAAAATAAATGAGAAGAAATACAAATTATAGCACAGACACAAGAATGATGGAAAATACAGAAAAGGGTGGAAAAGATGTGGGGAATAAAGTGAGAAGGCTTATGACATTTATTGGAGTCCCAAAAGGAAAGATAAAGTAGGGCAGAGGCACTATTTGAAGAAAGAATTGCTAGCAATTCCTCAAACTGATGAAGACACCAATTCACAGATTTAAGAAACACAATAAATCCCAAGTAAATAAAAAGAAATCCGTATCAGACTGAAATTGCATAGAATCTAAGACAAAGATAAGCTAGTAAGAGCAACAGATAATAAAAAGGCACTATCTTCAAGGAAGCAAAAGACTGACAACTAACTTCTTGATAATAACAATGGTAGTCAGAAGACAGTAGAATGATTATCTCAAACATGGAAAGAAAAAACTTGCAATGGAATTCCACACTCTGCAAAATTTCTTTCCAGATTAAAGGCAAATCAAAAACAGTCCCAGATAATTTAAAGCTCATCATGTGGAAAAGCTCACTTTGGGGAATAATAAAGGAGGGGCATCAAGCAGAAAATTCTCTATAGCAGAGAATTTTTTTTAAGATTTTATTTATTTATGGGGTGCCTGGGTGGCTGTCGTTAAGCGTCTTGCCTTCGGCTCAGGTCATGATCCCAGGGTCTTGGGATCAAGCCCCGCATCAGGCTCCCTGCTCCGCGGGAAACCTTCTCCCTCTCCCATTCCCCCTGCTTGTGTTCCCTCTGTCAAATAAATAAATAAAAATCTTTTTAAAAAAAGATTTTTATTTATTTATTTGAGAGAGAGAGTGACAGAGAGAGCACAAGCAAGGGGAAGGGAAGAAGCAGACTTCCTGCTGAGCAGGGAGCCTGATATGGGACTTGATCCCAGGACCCTGGCATCATGACCTGAGCCCAGGGAGAATGCTTAACCAACTGAGCCACCTGGTGCCCTCTATAGCAGAGAATTCTATGCTTTTTTCAGAAATAGCTCTTTGTGTGTTACTGAGCCCTCATGGAGAAACACATATATGAGGCACTAAGTGACCATTCATCCCAAACTGTCCGTTTTGATTTGAATTATGTCAGACTACCAAGCAATAAAGTTAGACACATGCCCAGCAGCTGTTCACTCTCAATCCAGAATTGAATCCAAGCAGAACTAGAGGGTACATGTAAGCTATATGAGCAGGTAATGCAGACCCCCCCGTCACCCAGCACAATTGTACGAATGCCCTTCCCCTAGCTTGCATTTGCAGTTGTATGGAGGGTCTTCCTATAGCCAGTTGAATGAGGAGAAAAAAGCCCAAGTATTATTTACACATGGGTCAGCTCACTATGGTCTATAAGGCAAAAATGGATCGCAACTATTTTACAACCACACTTGGCAGTGCCTTGAAAAATAGTGAGGAGAAGAAATAATTCAATGGGAGTAGCTGGGAGTAATACTACTGGTCATTCACTTGGTATTGTCCCAAAGGAACAATACACACAGATTCCTGGGCAGTAGTCAATGAGTGGCTCGCTGATCAGAAGACTGAAAGATAAGGAGACAGGGAGTAAAGACATGTGGATGGACATATGGGAGTGGACATAAATGTGAAGGTGTTTGTATTATATGTTAATGCCCACCAGAAAGCATCAACCATAGAAGAGTCACTGGATACCCAAGCAAATAAAACCACTCTGCTAGTTGACATTAGCCAACTACCCTAAAACAGACATGATGGGCATATAAACAGTGGGAGTGCATTCTATTCCTTAAGGCCCTTAGTAAAATATTCTTAGGCCCTGCTCTAAACCTACTAAGTTGGAATTTTGAGGTGAATGGGTTTTAATTTACTAGGTCCAGAGTGAGCCCAAACATCTGAGCTTTTAGTTCAGACCCCAGATGATTCTGATATTGTTTCAAGTTTGAGAAATACAGATACACAATATATTTCAGCACTGACACCATTACATAACAATGTTTAGGTGGCCAGGAGTGTTCCGCCCTAGCTGGGTCATCTGCTGACACCCTGCTAGGTAAGGATAGCCCCAATGATGGGAACGAGGTGGCTCATACTTTGCTCTGCTGTCTTGCTCTGGGTAATTGTTGCTGATTTCTCACACAGTGCTTCATAACACCCCAACACAAGGAGACAGAAATTGAAAGACCAAAAATCAAGATCATCATACTTCCAGTCCTTCTAATAAATGTCAGCGCAGTCCGCAGCAAGTCATATCCACTTCCAAGGATCCCCGCCTTTCCTTTTTTTAAGTTTTATTTATTTATTTGACAGAGACACAGCAAAAGAGTGAACACAAGCAGGGGGGTGGGAGAGGGAGAAGCAGACTTCCCATAGAGCGGGGAGCCAGATGCGGGGCTCGATCCCAGAACCCTGGGATCATGACCCAAGCCGAAGGCAGATGCTTAACGACTGAGCCACCCAGGTGCCCCGATCCCCCCTTTCCTTACCCATGAAAAGAAAAGGTGGAAGGAAAATGATGTCATTCAGAAAAGTTATCCAAATCTTGAAAAAGGCAAAAGGATTATTGTGTGCCTTTTCAATGTCATATTAGAGCATTGTCTAATGGGCCCACCCAAAGGTCATCTAACTCTCTATAAATATAATTTTGTTTGACTTACTACTTCTATTAACTTGTAGCAAACAGATAAAGGGCATATGATTTTTGTACAGTAGAGAGGCAAATGACATCTGTCTGGTAGAAAAGATAATGTCTAAAGTTGGTAACTCAAGAAATAGAAGTAAATATATCCCTAGACACATGGAAGAAAACTGAAAAAAGAGCTGAAAAAGAGTTAACAGTTACATCACAGAAACAGGATCAGGGCAGAAGAATATCACTTTTAATCATAGACATGTATTGTTTTGGAAGAATGTTCTTTTAAACAACTTTTTAAAGTCTGAGAAAGAAAAAGTAATGTTTTATTGACATGAAGAATTATTTATTACAGCCACTGTTCTCAGGGTCCTGGAGGTAGCATCTTCGGTCCCTCATGCCCAGTCATTCATGAGTTCAGGGACGGTACCATCAGGTCCAGCTTCAGGAAGCAGTCTTTGGTCTTTTAGCAGTCCTGGTGCCAGAAGATATGATTCCCAAAGCAGAAAAACATCCCACTCAACAGTTTCACTGCAGTTGTGATTTTGGTGACAAGGTTCTTAATTCCTTACCAGAATCCAAAGCCCTTCTCTCAGTGTAATCTGTCAGATTACACCTCCTCAGGAGCTTCCTGGGTATAATGTGAAACTGGTCCTCATATGTGGGGGTCAGGATTGAGACCAAAAGGAAAGAGATGATTCACCCCAGATCGGTAGGTGGCAAATTTAATAAACAAGGAAACTCACATACAACGCTTGTCTTTGAGTGGCTGCAAGACAAGTAGATCTCTAGAATATTAAAAATATAGAGAGAGGCTTTAACTGGGTTGGGCCACATATACCAACCAGTATCTCAACATCACATCACTATCTCAAGGCTTATGTCTTTGGGGCAGCTTCTGGGAGCAGGAAAGGCAAGCAGAACACACACATTGCAAGGACAGGGGAGGGGGTAAGGAGCCTCCAACTGCCAGAGTCCAGCTCATGGGTCAACTGGTGGTCATATCCTCTCGATGACCTCCCCCAACACAATGCATCAAGCCCCTTATGCCACTCCATTGCTAAAGACCCAAAAGAACCAAATCCTTCAAGGAATGTTGGCCTGGAGCTCCCAGAACTCAAATGTCAGAGCATTTGATATTCAAATGTGTGAAAACTAGATGTTCACCAGGCCATAAACCTGAAAATGAGGATGTTGCTACTCACAGGAGCCTTCCACAATTTCATATGCTGTGGTCTTTCTCAAATGTGACGGATAAGTCACGGGATCCCTGGAAGTCTGTTCTCCAGTTCCACAAACTATGAGATTACTATGTTTCCATTTTGATTACACTCTCAGTATGTTATCAGAACCTCTTCTGGATCATCAGGATAGCCAGTTACATGGCACCAAGACTCATATTTGAGCTTTGTTTGGGCTCAAATCTGTGCCAAGTGACAACCCAAAGTGTCACAGTGTCTGCATGAACAGTTTTGGTGGTAGAGAAAAGAGATGGGACATTGGAATCACCACACAGCCTGTAGTAGTCTGGAGATGCTGTAACACTCAGACCATAATCCTGTCACAAGCAAATGTGTCATTGGATCCCAACTGTCAGATGTAACAACCGACAATGTAACAATGTAAATTGGCAGATGTAAGACACTGCCACCATTTATTAGCAGTGAGGATAGTCATAAATATTCAATAACCAAGTATTCTATTTAATATCCCAGAATTAGCTCAGTGCCCATTTTAATGTTGTTTTTTATAAAACCACAATGCTAAAACTATACGTAATTGAAGAAGAAAACTTTAAAGAATCAAGAGACCTTGCATTAAATCGGTGCTTACTGATTGCTTACTGGCCTGGCTAGTAGAGTATGTGGTCTGATTGTCCAAAAGTAGAAAAAAAAATTTAATTTACTGGTACTATTTTGGAAATTGTATTTAAGCAAATAGAATTTTCTGCATTTGTAACATCAGAGACAAAATAAGAAATGTATTATATACAGAACCATATCTGAGCTACATCTTTCTACAATTAAATTCACAATCAGTGATTTAATTTCAACAGATTTCATCAGAATACATCATCTGAAGCATGGCTGGTGAAAAAGCGAGGCTCTCTGTTCCAGAGAAAGGGACCTTTCCTGCAGTTTTTAAAGGGATTATGTGGATGGTGAGTATGCCTAAAAGGAAAAGTCTAGAAGAGGCAAAGAAATCAAGGCTGTGAGACTGTACAGAAAGTAGTGAAATAATAGTTCTCTTTTACATGCATCATTTCCTCCCCAGCCTATCAGCAGTGACAGGGGTCCTCCTCCCCCCAGCTAAGCCCCGGTCCCAGGCTCACCCACAGAGCTATCCTCATTCAATTACTCTTGCTAATTTCAGTTTACTATGCTTGCTATTTCATTTTATATCTTAGTGTTAGCTTTCTTATTGTGTAAAAACATGAAGTTTATATTTGGCCTTATGTTTACATATTAGAATTAGGAAAAAACATAATTTAACTATTATTAAGAATTATTTATCTTTAAAAGTTCTTTAACCTTTAAAAGGATACATTATACAACTTGAGATATACTAGCAACATACAAACTATATGGAAAATATATTCCAAATAGGAAAGGAAACAAAGCAAAACAAAAACAATCAGTTCCGCACTAGTCACCTGGTCTTGGGTAAGATTCATAAGCTCTGAGCCTTCTCCATATCCAGCCCCAGGGAATGCCCTAATGTCTTTGGGTCCTGACATTTCTCGTACTCATACGGTGGGATGGCTGTGGGATGAACAGCTTCGGCCTGACAGAACCTTACATCACATCACCCTTCCCTCCTATGTCTGAGCCCACATTCTATGCCTCAGTTGCCATGAAGTCATTCATAAAGTGCGGTGATAACAGGGTCCTGCCCACCTCTCAGCACTGATGTGAAAGTGACCCTGAGATAATATAGAGGAAAGCACACTGGGAACTCGAAAATTTAACACAAAGACCTCTGACCAAGCTGCCCCCTCAAGCCTGAGTTCAAGCGTTGATATTTAAATTGAAGTTAACATTGTACACTCCCCCCTGGTGCGAAGTGAGGAAGATGGGGTGGCCTCTGTCAGAGGAGGCGATGAACCAGCCAGGGAAGGCCACGGACTCGAAGGTGGAGGTCCTGCCATTCTTTGAGTGGTAAAAGAGGAAGGGCTCCACGGGCTTGACTTCGTTGTACAGATCCAGTAACTCCTCCTCCTAAAATATGACAGAGAAGGCCCCGCAGGAGAAGCAGAGGCTGTTTGAGTCCTTCAACATTACTTGCACGCAATCAGTAAATGTTCCAAAGCTCGAGAAAGCCTTATCCCTCTATTAAAACAGGCCTAGGATCAGCAGAGTGAGCACACCATCTCACCTTCCCAGCCCCCAGCCTCAAATCCAGAGACAGAGGAGGAATGACACAGGAACAGGCTAATGAACACGTGGGCACACTCGAACAATGAGTTGGAACTCTTCTCACACAAGAAGCCGAGCGGAGGAAAAGGAAGGAGATGCAGATTTGCAGCAAAAAACCAAGGACCTCTCCCACCAAAGACGCAGCAGTGAGGGCCGCCGCCCTGCAAACACCATTGCTCTAACTAAAGTTCCGTGTTAGTCTTTGACCAACTGCCAGCATGTGAGAAAGGTCAGTGCCAGGAAAAAGACACAAGAGGGTCTAACAAACCAAAGGATTTGCATTCAAAAAACAACAGCAAAGTAAATAGAGCAATCAGAAAATGCCTTCTATTCACATATAGAAGTATATTTTCTATGTTTATATACCATGTATTTAAGTAAAATAAGTATTTCTAACTAAATTAAAGATCTCCAGAGAGCCACTACACAGGAATGGTCCGTAATTCAGCCACATTCGGACCCCCTCCCTATCTCGCTACCAGGTTATTTTCTTCATTAGTTCTGATTACCATCTGAACTTAGTATATTTATCCATCAATAATATCATTACTGCCAGATTTGTTCATCACTGCATTCCTCAACACAGAGAAATTCAATAGAGATGTGTTTAACAAATAAAAAGACACTTTCTCATTTCAAACTCCAGTACGTCCTCCTCCTCCCTTTCAATGTCCAGCCTAGGAAGGACTGGGCTGCAGGTCCCATCTGCCATCCCCAGCTTATGCCTGCTCCTCTAGCAATTCATCATTTTGGCTTTCTCTCCATCATTCCCATTAGCATATTTGCTGTCATTCTACCATCTTAAAAAATAACTGTTTCGATTGCCTATCACCGTTCCCAGCTTCCCTTTGCAGAAATTTCCCTGTAATAGTTGTCTATATATGCTGTCTCGGATTTATCCCTTCCTGTCCCTCTCTTAAACCCCCTCCATCCAGGCTTTCACCTCCAGCACTGCAGCAACACTGCTGTCACCAAGGTCCCTAAGGACCCACACATGGCAGAATGCAGTGGTCGATTCTCAGTCCATCTGAGGACAAAACCACGATAGAAAGGCGGCTTACTAGACAGGACTTAGCTGAAAATGTAATTCTCAGTCCACCTTCACCACACTCTGCATTCACTCTGTCAGCAAATCCTGTTGCCTCAATTTAAATAAAATATTTTCAAAGTCAGACTGGCTTCTATCTGCCTTCACTGCTATCCCCTCATCCATCAGATCTCACCTAGATCACGTCGAAGTTCCCCATAGGACTTTTACCCCTGCCCTCCACCACAGTCTGCTTTCAGCTAGCAGCCAAAATAATTATTTTAAAACCTATGTCCATTTATGTCACTCTCCTATTAAAAACATTCTAATAATTCCCCATTTCACTCAAATTGAAAGGCAAAGTCCTTATAAATGCCAGTAAGGCCCTTTGTGATCTGCCTTTATCTCTCCGAACTCCTCCTCCCTAATTTACTCCTGTCACTGTTTTCTCTGCTAATCCTTGCCCTCCCTGACACCCAGCTGGCTAACTCTCTTGTTGCCTTCTACTGTCTGTTAAAATCTTAGCATGCCTGCTGCACTATTTTCTATGGCAACCCAACTCCACCTGGGTCTAGCACTGCCCACCTCTCTATCCTGCTCTCCCAGGGGACATAACACTCTTACACACATCACCAACTTACCCATCCTGATAATTATTGTCTACCATTTCTCTCCTCCTGCTAGAATCCATGCCCCATGAGGGCAGGGCTCTCTGCCATTCTGTGCCCCAATGTATGTCAGATGGCCACAACAGAGCTAGAGGCCAGTAAGAACTCACACGTTTACTGAACTGAATTTGATGGGGTTAAATTAAATTGAATTGAATTAAACAGAAGTTTATGGAGCTGAAGTTTATGGAACAAGAGTAAAGATTGAAATTTCAAAAAACGGCAAGGGGAGAATAATTTAGCAGATAGGAAAAGCTTAAAATGGAATCATGACTTCGAAAATGGAACCAAGAAATTCTCCCAGGATGCAACAAGCAAAAAACAAAAACAATGAAAGGATAGAAAGTATGGAAAATTAGACAAGATATTAAAGAGGGATCTAGAAGTTCCAATGACTAAGGCATAGGAATTCCAAAAGGAAAGATAAGGCAGAATGAAAGAGAGAAACAATGGTTGAGAATATCTCAAAATTCAAGAAAGACAAACATCCTCAACTAGTGAGGGTCAGGATAGCTCAATTGCATGTACACTACTCAAAAATATCCAGGAATATTAACTATGTTTAAGAAGAGGAGAATATTTCTTGGGTGCCTGAGTGGCTCAGTCGGTTAAAGCATCTGCCTTCAGCTCAGGTCATGCTCCCAGGGTCCTGGGATCAAGTCCCACATCAGGCTCCCTGCTCCACGGGGAGCCTGCTTCTCCCTCAATGTCTGCCTCTCTCTCTCTCTCTCTGTCTCTCATGAATAAATAAATAAAATCTTAAAAAAAAAGAACAGGTGAATATTTCTTTTTTTAATTCTAAAATTAGATTATCTACCAAATAAACATCTTATAAAAGAAATTGGCCTTTTTTTTAAACGTCATTTTTCATACTCACCTTCAGTTGCAAAGTGGGCTGCCCTTCTATGTTCTCACAAGACAGACACATATCTGGATTCTCTATTCCCAAATAAATGGGAATTCCTCTTCCTTGCTCAAGCAACTCTGGATACTTGCATGGGATAACAGTGACAGTGACTAATAAAGGTAAGAGGGGAGATGGTGTCAGTTTCCTCTTGAAGTCAGGACAAAGCCAGCATCTTTCAGGTGGGGCAGGAAGAAACCTTTTGAGTGTCATCCCTGCTACCCCAGGCCCACCAAATGGCCAACTACTGTATTCATTCATTCATTCATTCATATGACATACCAGTCACGTCCCTAGGAAATGGAGCAAACACACAGAGTTAAACAGGTGGCAGACCCTGTCCTAGAGATTGTCATACCTCTGCGTAAACACCTGAAGGTGGGAAGCTCCAACCCCAAGCAGCCCCTCTGATCCTTGAAGAGTTCTGTCCAGGGCGCCTGGGTGGCTCAGTTGGTTAAGCAACTGCCTTCAGCTCAGGTCATGATCCTGGAGTCCCTGGATCGAGTCCCGCATTGGGCTCCCTGCTTGGCAGGGAGCCCGCATCTGCCTCTGACCCTCCCCCCTCTCATGTGCTCTCTCTCTCTCTCATTCTCTCTGTCTCAAATAAATAAATAAAGTCTTTAAAAAAAAAAAAAGTTCTGTCCATTAGCAAGTTTTGCTTAATGTGATGTTGAAATCTGCCTTCTTGTACCCACTCATTTAGTCCTTTTAGGACACCTTGAAGCCAGGCAGAATAAAATACTCCTCTTCCATGGGACAGGCCATTAGTTACTGAGGGCAGCTCTCCTGCCCCCCAGGAGGCTGCTCTACCCTCTCTGCTTTCTAAATCCTAGTCCAGACAAACTTCTCCCTGACATGGCTTCCCAGGCAGGTGTGAAATTCTCCTCCTTCCAGGTGGGCCCTGTTGTCAAGCCAGCCTTTCACAAAAGGCCAGTGCCAGCATCCCAGGTGCACTAATGTGACCCTTCCCTTGCCTCGAAGGCAGCAGCCACAGGATGACCACTCACCTGGGGTTACACTGTTACTCCGTGGAACTGTCACAATGGTCTGACCCTGAAGGATCCACACCTGCTGATTCAAGTCGGAGACCTCCCCAGTATGAGGTTTATTCACTACAGTTTAAATAGAAAAGAATAATGAAGAACCATTATAACTAGGCCGCTTTGCTAGATGCTAGGCCCTTCAGGAAGGAAGGTCCAGGGTTTACACACCAAAACTGACAGCATTCACATGACCCTCAGCTCAGCCTTTCTTTCTGGGAAAACTATGGGTTGTGGTGAGGAGGGCCAGGGCTGCAAATGGTCTAAGAGGGTAAACTGTCCCATAGGACATGTGTGTCAAGACCAGCTACTCCCTCTGATGACTACTGTGTGCTTGGCTTGGTGCTGGGTCTGGAGTTAGAGCAGAGATTAAGCACTGCTCCCCACCCTGTAGAAGCTCACTGTCCAGGGAAAGCTGGAGAGCACTGGGTGGCAAGGGCTATACACAAAGAGGGGCAGAAAATGCTGGGGCATATCCAGAAGATCCAGAAGAGACAGGTATGAGTGCAGGTGTCCCAGGCCTCCAGAGCCCCATCTCAACATCACCTGCTGTAAAGGGTTCTCCAGAGATAGGGACTCCTCGAATGCATGTCATAGTGGGGTTGTCTCAACACCTGTGGGGACAGTGATAGGAGACATGAGCGTCAGGAGACATTTCCAAGACCTTTCCAGGACACTAGTTACTGAGATCCTCATTCTGGACAAGGAGCTGGGAAGCCTGGCCTGACACAAAGCCTAGTCAGAAAATCTGAGCCACCTCCTGAGACAAAACTTCAAGGTACCGACAGGGAGGAGACATGGGGCAGAACTTCCTCCACCCGAAAATCCAGCCAGTGACAGTATCTTCCTAGAAGTTCTAAGCCAGGCGTGACTTTTGACCTTAAATACCCACAGCCGCCTAATGCCTGTGTCTCTTCCTCCTTCCCCCATTGACATCTGCTTCTGCCTGGGGGCAGAGCAGTTCTGCCAGGATCCCAGCAACTCCCTGGGAAGTGAGAAGGTGAGAAGCAGCTAGACAAGTACTGGACAAGACACAGAGCCTGGCATAGCCCCATCCCTTCCCTGAGCCCTAAAGCACAGAAAAGAGGGAAGGCTGAAAAGTTAGAGAACCTTTATCAAAAGTGCAGGGTACTGAATCACAGCTCCAACAGCTCCCAAGAGCAGTGATGGGCTCTGACAGAGACTGCCATTTATTTGGTACAATGGGGGAGGTGCCACCTACCTTGGTGGGGCGTGGCAATTATATGTCAGAATATCCTGAGACTCAGATGAAGAAATCACAGCATCAGCATGAGCTGCCAGAGAAGGAGGCACCGAGCCATGCCCACACGGAAATAGAGCGATGACAGACCCCAGGCTTCTCAGCAAGGGGAGACTGAGGGACTTCCCCAGAACTCAGTTCTCCTGCCTTTTCACTCAGGCTGTAACTGGAAATGCCAGGCCCTTCACAAAAGGAGTCCATCTGTTGAGGCAGGCAAGCTTGCCCTCTACAGTTCCACTAAGGGAGTCCTGTGATTGCAAAATTAGCTGTGGACTTCAGGCAGGGTCCACATGGCATTCCTGGCCATCCAACTATGCCTGAACCACCCAGGCCACCCCTGAAAAGTGGACTAAGCTGAAAGCTCCCTTACTGTACTCTTTTAGCACCTCCACCCCCTTGGGAAGCCACAGGCACTGAGCAGCATACCCTTAACAAAGGCAAGCCTGGTCCCTGGTGCCCCCAAAATGCAGTGGACTCCAGAACTGCCTAAGAACTAAAATAGTCAGCAATGATCTCCCTAAAAACTGAGCCCCAGATCCCAACTTATCCCCCACCCTCTGTTCTAGTAATGCAGGGCATTTGTAGGTTCTCAGTGAATGGTAACAGGTATTATTACTATTTTTGGTGGGAGGTACCATGTTTATTACACCCCCACTCTCCATCTGCTGAGGTCAAGCACAAAAATTTTCTGCTGCACAAGCTAACTTGACTGAGGTGAATTTCAAAAAACAGACTGGAAACAACTTCGTATTTACCCGCCTAGCTGGGGGGTGGGAGGGAAGGGCTAAGACAGAGCCTTCTAGGCAAGCACCTCCATGAGCTCCTCTTCCCAGCCCTGAAAAGTTCCTTGCTCAACCTCTCATACTTTTCACCCCCATCTCCTTGTTGCCCTTGGAGGAATATGGTCCTTTCTTGTTGAGGCCTCAATCCCATCACTTTTGGCTTCCAGTTTATCTGTTACCCCAGGAGAGAGTGTGATAATGAATTCAGACACACTTGTGTTCAAAGCCAGGCTCAGTCAGTGTCACCTCTCTTGGGTCCCCTCTTCAACTGAAGAGCCTCTCCATTATGTATCAGTCAACATACCTCCTTTCTTGGGATATTCACCACAAAATGGCATCTAAAGGGTCCTATCATCTGGCCCCCAAATTCCTTAGGTCTCTGTTTCAATAAGGATCTAGTGTGGAAAGCAGAACCCACACAAGGAATTTCAAAGGGAACTGGTTACAAAATATGTTAGAAGGCTAAAGAGTAACAAGAAGGTGCTGAAGTGTCCCCGAAATTAACAACTACAGGAAAGAAACAAGAGGGAACAAAAGAACCTAGGAGCTCAAAGGAAGGATCTTGTAGGACTGATGCCCAGACCTCTGGAGGGGACTCTCTGCCAAACTGATGCTCAGACCTCTGAAAAGAGAGTGTAGTCTGTTCAGTGCATGAACCACAAATGTGGAGAGGAGACATCAGCCCAAGAGATGCTCAGGGGGCCCAAGGGACACAACCCAGAGAGCTGTATTTTCATTGATTCAAAAGCCATTGAGTATAGCTTGAATTTTCCATGCCTAGAAGAAGGTTGCAAAAACCTATGTCTTACGATGACATGTGTCCTCTTTGGCCTCAGCCTCTATTCCACTGAACTTTCCCTCTCTTCCCAACATTCAGAGCATCCAGTACTTTCCAGAATTGCCAGCAATCAGTTCCATTCTGAAGTCTCCAGTTTAAACTTCAGTGCGAATAACTATCAGAGAAATTAAAATAGAAGTGATGGTGATAAGAGGGAAGAACTGAACCACTGGAGTGGATAATTGAGAAGCAGAGAGCCCATCTACTGAAGAAATGGACCAGAACTTTTGTCTTAGAGTAGAAGGAATGGATAATATGATTACATGATACCCTAGCTATATTTGAGAGGACTATCAATATTTATGCTGGTTATAAAAAGGAATATGATTCTGCTATGTAAACATAACCCAGTTTGTCAGATTCTATTAATGTTCTATTGTCACATACAACAATGAAAATTATGCACACCATTAAATGTGGTTTGAATTGAATTCAAATAAGTACTCTTAAAGCCAAAGATCCTAGACGTGGAAATAATTTTTTTTATCTTTTTTTAAAATTTTTTATTGTTATGTTAATCACCATACATTACATCATTAGTTTTAGATGTAGTGTTCCATGATTCATTGTTTGTGCATAACACCCAGTGCTCCATGCAGAACATGCCTCTTTAATACCCATCACCAGGCTAACCCATCCTCCCACCCCCCTCCCCTCCAGAACCCTCAGTTTGTTTTTCAGAGTCCATTGTCTCTCATGGTTCGTCTCCCCCTCCGATTCCCCCCCCTTCATTCTTCCCCTGCTATCTTCTTCTTTTTTTTTTTTCTTAACATATATTGCATTATTTGTTTCAGAGGTACAGATCTGAGATTCAACAGTCTTGCACAATTCATAGCGCTTACCAGAGCACATACCCTCCCCAGTGTCTATCACCCAGTCACCCCATCCCTCCCACCCCACCCCCACTCCAGCAACCCTCAGTTTGTTTCCTGAGATTAAGAATTCCTCATATCAGTGAGGTCATATGATACATGTCTTTCTCTGTTTGACTTATTTTGCTCAACATAATACCCCCCAGTTCCATCCACTAGACGTGGAAATAATTTTAAGAGATCATGAAGTCCAGATTCCAATTTTTAAACTCTAAGATATTATCATCCATGCTTGTTTGGTATCAAGTCCTGCTATTTTGCTCACTTAACATGCCCATGATCTTAGTAAGTGGAGGGAACATCAATGGAAACCAGGTAGGGGGAGAGGGCTTGGCCATTCATCACCACTAGAATCTCTAGAACCTGTTCATAGATGCACAATCTCCATAACAATGTATTCATGTGGCCAAGCTGACATTCACAACAAATAAAGCAGAAGGAACCATGAAGTAGTAGAGCTTATCTGCTCCCCATAGTTGAAAAATAACAGAATCAAATTCATAGTAGTACTGGGCTTAGAATCTATAATTCCCAATTCCCTAATTTAGGGCTCTCCGCTCCAGTGCTCACCAGCTCCCTTGGCGCTCCCAAAAGGACCAAAGCCACTGTAGCTCACATCCTATCAAGGGCTACCTACAAGCAGGGCTGGCAATCTGGCCTGGGAATTGCTACTGGGAGAGAACTGGCACTCCCCTTGGTTGAGTAATGGTGCAACATGATGTGCACCACAGACCACAGAGAACAGCCTGGGCCATTTGTACTTGAGTAGATTTGGGAAAATGGGATACCAAGGAAATTCCCAGGGTGACCTCTGTAGGACTGCCTTTACCCAATGTGGGTATGATGATGTAGTTGAACTTGCACAAACCGCTGCTCCTCTAAGTAGCCCAGGCCCATTGTCTAAGACTTGCTTCCCTGTGGGCTGACCTATCCTCATATCTTTCCTCAAGCTGGGTCTTCCACGAAAACCCAGACTTTCAGTTGTGGGCCAACATGCTATTTAACAGCTTCCTCTCCTTCATGTGAAAATGAAAGATAAGTTAACAAAAATAACCCCCACACTCCTCACCAAAATGGCAGAAATAAATAGAAGCATTAAAGGCATCAAGACAAAAGAATCCAACTATACAGGACCAACATCAAGGTACATTTCACTAAATTTAAAACATTTATTGACCAAATTGTACACTTACGTGTAACCAAAATATGAAAAGCAAACAGCTAAACTCTTCATCAGACAGCTTGTGGTAAAACATTTAAGGAAAAGTTTAGGTTAAACGCCTAAAGTTTGAAATTCCTGGACAAAGAGTCAATGACAGAAAACTTTTAGTCCAACAATCCACATCACATGAAATACAAAAGCCATAAAAGAAAAGATGATAAATTGAACATCATCAAAATTTTAGAATTTTGGACAAAACACACAATGGGTGAAAGTTATAAGATAAGGTGCCTATAAGAAAATGTTTGCAATACATCTAACAAGCTAATACCTAATATTCAAAGTTTTTAAGTAGTTCCTACTAGTTTAAAAAATGCAAGTAATTTTATAGAAAAATAAACAATAGATGTAAAAAGCATTTTGCTGAGAAGAAAATATAAATATCCAACGAATAGAAGTAATTATAGTTAACCATGCTAGTAATTAGCAAAATGCAAATCAAAGCAACAATGAGATTCCAATTCCACCCATCAGGAAGGCACAAATTAAAAAGGTGGTAGGCAATGGTGGTAAGGAAACAGATTCGCTCACCGTATGGATGGATGTGTGAATCAGCACAGCCTTTTTGGAAAGCAAGTTTGCAGGAGCTATTAAAAATCTAAATGTGTGTACCCCATGACTCATCAATTCTACTTATAA